GGAGACTGTGACAAAGGCTTTACTGAAGTCAGGAATACAGTAAAGATAATCGCTCCAGTCCAAGAATTTAGAAAAGAAGGCAGCAAAGGAAGAAGGCAAAACACAAAAGGCAAGAGGCAAAAGGAAAAACACAAAAGACAAGGGTAAAGAGAGGGAGAAAGATAAATAGAAAAAAAAAAGGACAAAAGAAATGGAAAAGCAAGAAGAAAAAAGCAAGGATAAAAGGAAACCATGACTGAAGGAAACCATGACTGTAGTAAAGTTGACATTGATCTTCAGAGAAAAGTATAACCAAATCTTGTGACATATAAATGACAACATACCTATCTGGATCTGGCTACATAGCTTCTGGCTATGTAGATGGGCATTTTTCACTGTCAATGTCCAACTTAGATACTGTAGATAAAAGATTATGAACAAGCTTAGAAACAAGGATCTGCATCACACAATGATGTCTGCCCATCACTGTGACATTTACTTCAACAGTGTCTTGCAGCGGGTGGTAGATGAGAATTGAACATGGCTTATTGACAGGCCACCATGAGGAAGATGATGGACAGAATTCTCTGTTTTCTTCTTTGGTTTAAATATGAAGAGATGAATTATACTAAACAGCCTTCTTCCACAAACCTGCAGGGATATAGCATATTCACCGCAATTGTACAGTTCCTAGGGCTGGAGAATAGGAGGAAAAGGGCACAGCTTTCCCCTGACAACAGGCTCTCCCCATGGCAGAACTCTGCCTGTATTTTGGAAAGATGTAAAGATCTGGGAATGTGTTCTCTCCTTCAAGTATTTTTTGCGCACTGGACCATCTGGATAGAATCTGCACATTACCTTTGTAGCCATCAGTGTGTTTATCTGCAGATTATAATAAGTATTGTTGCAATAGTTACCAAAAGTGTTTTGAATCACTGACATGACAAGTCCCATCACTGATGACTAATGGCACCCAAATAAAGCCATTGCATATTTTTTTGCAATATGGGGACTGTTAAGGCAAAGTGCAAGGCAAGAGCATGGTAGCTGATTTGCCATGATGCAGGAGCTGCTTCTCCAAGCAGTGTTGCTATGGAGGACATTGCTGTGTGAGGTTGTAGTTACTTATCTGCCTTCAGCTGTGCCACCCATTCTAGCCTGCCCGTATCTTGCTGGCTCCATCTCCAGCCAGAGGTCATTATGCCTGTCTTTGATGCAACTGCACATGCAGTGGCTTCATAACCTAATTTTGTTTTAACAATATAGTTTGCTTGAACTGCAACCTTTTCTGACAGAGATCTGGTATGGATCTAAAGATGTTACGATTTTTCTTGTTTTACAACAGTTTTGGAGCATGACTGGATTCACAGATGAGGGTGACCAGAGTTTTGAGACATACAGACAGTTCTTCCTGAGGTAATTTTCGTGCCAATGCAACTTGCTGACATGTGTTAACATTGAGTTTTTCTCAGGTTAAACCAGCAGGGAGCTTGTGTTCAGCTTTCCTGCTGTAATCAAGGAGGCTTAACAAATCTGTTCAATTCTCATTTCCTCATGGACTAGAAAGATGGGATTCAGTTTGAAAGTGTTATATTTAGGCATCTTGTGTGTACTGTGTACTTTGGTAATTTTCCCCTCCCTCAAAACAACGTAATTCTCAAAATCAGTAGACATTTTCTAGGAAATATGAAAAATACTTTCTCATTATTTTTGTGCAGACAGAAGATTGCTCACCCTTGAGATAAGAGATTGTATTTTGGAGTTGCATAGATAATGTTTGACTGTATTTAAAAACAAACAAATGAAAACCCAAAACCCTACCTTCATGTTGTGCCATTAAGACCAAAGCCCTTTTATGAAAACAGGGCATCATAAGATAACAGCAAAGTAGAAGGAAGAATTTCTGCATAAAAAAAGTGCAGATTCAGTTCCTCTACTGAAATGAATTAATTTAGAGCAAGCCTCAGCTAGCAAGCTTAGCTGATGTGTGTGCTTAAGCCATCTCTGAATCAAAAGATGCTCAGCCAATTTTTAACCTGCGTTGTTTAAAAAAATCAGAAGTTTAAGCTGTTAATGAAGAGAGATTGTTTCAATATAACTTCATAAATAATGAATATTTTTTTTAAAATCCTTTATGCTATAGAACATGTAATTTCTATTATTTTCTGCTATAAGCTATATTTTTCTAGTTTGGGATTTCTTTCCTTATTTATTTATGACTGCTCTCCTGCAATATTGATTAATAAGGGGTTAGAAGTTAATTGTGCAGATGAGCCATTTGTAGTATAGCTATACAGAATGTCACAAAACAATACTCAAAAAAAAAGCCTCAAACAAGAGTCAGTTGTAAATAGAGATCCCCAGTGCCTTAACAAATTTCAGGGACTTTTCAAAAGCTAGAGTCCTCAAAGGAGACATGTGCATCTCTCTAAGTTATCTACATCAGAAGTAATTATTCTCCAGGTCCTCAGCAGAAGCTAGAGAAATAGTACAGTATTTTTTTCTACCATGATCTATAAATAAAATTGAGCCCACTACTAAAGCAGCACAGTAAAAACTTTTTTTTCAGACTATGTTTTAATACTAATTTTTAACCTTAAATTTGGATTTTTTTCCAGTAGATCACCAGGTAACCTTCAAATACATTTAAAAAAATAAGTAATTAAAGTAATTGCTATGACCTCTATAGTAACTCAGTAGCAGTTTGCAGTTGTTAAGGTAAAATTCATCCTTCTGCAGAAGATCAGGGAAAGGTTTATGCATTACATTTAAGGGGTCTCCAGTCTGCCATTTTCAAGGTTCTGAGATGGATATAAGTAATGCATAATTCTCATAACAGTTCTCTTCAAATAAATGTGTTCCACTCCAGAGCTGAACTCTTTCCACTAAATACTAATTTGCTTACTTGTAGTCATCCACAGGACTTAAGAATAGCATCTATATTGAGGTTTTGATATGCTGGTACTAGGTCTGTCATGCTTTTAGAAAGATACATTTTCACATCCTGTTTCCAAAGGTAGAGATATTTGTTAAAAAACGAGAATATTTAGAAAGTGGCCTTGTGCCTCTGTCTGAAGGAGCATTTCAGGAAATAATTGGAGCAAAACTTACTCCAGGCTCTGATGGGACTCTCAACATTTTCATGATCATTATTATCAGTTCCGTTCAGGTAGACAAGGGATCAAATTCACTCCTATTCAGGGATACACTGTGTATTTACACCAGTGTCAACTGGTCTGAACTCATAAGTAGTTTACACTTTCATAGATTGGTTAAGCTTCCTCATTTCCAGAGCTCAGATTTTTGTGTTACATTTTGGCTTCTTCAGCTGAGAGGCAGCTAAACAAGAGTCCAAACACTGTCTTTTGGTGAGGCTTCCTCAACAAGCAGTTGGGGCACAACTTTTCTCTCTAAACCCTCTACTCTTTTGTCAAGCGCACCAAAGGTCTCATCCAGGTGCCTATTACGTAGAATTAGTTTCAGGCTCAGGTGCAGCCTTTCCCGAACTACTTGGGCATTTCACCACACAGAAGCCCACAAAATGTGTAAGTGACCTGACTCACAGAAGGCAGATCATACTCAGAGTCAACGTAACAAGAAAGGTTCAAGCAAAGTTTGGGTGCAGGAGAGGCAGGTAGAAATAGAGCAGAAACACAGTTTCTGACAGTTCAGCCAATGAGCAGTACTTGTTAAGCTGCTGTGACCCCACTGCATTTGAGCAGATGCCCATAACACCTCAAAACAGACTAGTAAATCATAACTTCACCTTACCTCCAATGCTTGGCATCCTTGAAGAGTCCTGATGGCTGCTGGATTTGTTGCGGTTCTGATTCTTCCTTTTATTGTTGGCTGCTCGGATAGAACGGAAAAGCACTTCACTTGCCTTGAAGAATGCAACCATGAATGGTTGCTTTGACTGAGGCCCATGTCTTCCAATCAGGCCAGCAGATTTAACATTGATACTTCGACCTATAAAGTAATAGAAATCGTAAGTTAAAAGGTGAAATTCTGCCCCTCCTGAAGCTACAGTGGGAGTTCAACTACTGACTGAAACGTGGCAAGGATTTTGCACATAATCGTCAGTTTACATAATTAAGAATCCTAGCTTTATTCTGTTGAACAGAACTTAAAAGGCAAAAAATTCAACAATTTACAAAGTTTCAACAGCTTTACAGGTAGTTTGTCATTGCCCAAAATTGCGGTCTCTGTGCTCTATGTATTTTATTCACTATTCAGATACTTTATTTCAGTCTCATGTACACATGTATAGAACTGAAAAATAAATGAGCCCCATAAAAGTCTACAGGCTATCAAAAGGATAAAGTAATGCGGTCAACTAATTTTTGCATCACTTGAGTGTGAGATATGGAACCTTATATCCCCAAAGCAAATCAGTAGCAAAGAAAAGTGTAGATAATAAATACACTTTGGTTTTAAAAATAAATATTATGCAGTGTTGCTCAAACTGATGTTCATTCAGTAGTAAAGGTAGGAAGGCAATCAGTCATTCAAGAGAACAGAGTATGAAATATGTACATTATTGACTCTGGTTCTGTTCCCAGGGGATGTGCATATTTCTTTAAAATATTTGTTCAGTCAGGACTGTGTGGTAACCTCACTATATTAGAGGATCTAAACCTCAGTAAAAGAAAAGAAAGCAAAACAAGTCACTGAAACTGCATCAGTGACATTTCAGCAAATAAACCCTTGCTCTTAACAGAATTTATTTTGGCAGCATAAACACTTTTGTGCGTACGTGTGTTTTACAGAGCCCTTCAACCGTCAGAAAATGAGACAGTGTCATGTGAAGCTGTACAGCTGTGCTGGGTGGGGGACACAGAGGTCTTTTAGCTGGGAAGGTACGGGCACAGGCACCGCCTGCGCTGCGCGGAATGGGGACGCCTGGGGATTCTCCTAAACTGACTGGAAAAGTTTGGAAGGAGCATCTGCCTCACAAACGTATAAAGCTGCTAACTCAATCATCCTGAAAAAGAGCTTGCAAATAAGCATAGGAGTAAACCTTATAGAAATAAGCATATAGGTTTCCTTTTCAAACACAAACTTACAGTGGCTGTACGCCAGAGGCTATATTTCTTAGAAAAACTCTATCACTGGCGTAAATGAAAGAGGCAGTTTGATTTGTGGTTAAAGTAGTTTCCATTCTACTTCCACTGTAACAAATGTATTAATTCAGCTCAGACTTCCTCCTTCTGGCAGCCCTTTCGCAGTAAAAAGAGAAATTAGAAGTTCCAGCCAAATACCATACCTTGAACTGACCCACTTCAATACATAAACACTTTTACAACATGTTTATTCAGGTGTAGCACTTTAAATTGGTTTAAGATGTTTCCAGTGACAGAGAGACTAGCAAAGGCAGGAGAAGAACTGAGAAAGTTAGCAGTTATGGAGCAAAGTAATTGGCAACATATTCTGAACAATTGTGATAATTACTTTTTTGACTGTGAGGGAAAAATATATTTGTTGAAGCCTCCGATTTCATTTTACATGGCTTTTTAGTCTTGTGTTTCCTTAATTCTTCTTTTCGTGTGTTTGAGTTACTATTGAATAATTCAGTAACATTAATTTTTATATGTTCCAATCTTATATTGCAAGTTAGATATGAAAAACTGTACAGACTATTCTTTATTCATTGCAACATGGACAAACTAGCCTCTTACCACAAAGTTCCAAGTTTCCTCTCATTTCTAGAGGGACTATTTTTACTGTTTTTCTTTATTTTTTGTTCCAATGACTTTCAGAATTTTAATTTTATCTGTAAAAGATTAATTCCTTACTGGTGGACATTTTAAGAATATTATTAGATTTATATACTGAGCGCTATAAAGATGTGTGGAGGTTTTCTGAATCTAAATCTAGGTTCTCTGAATTTACAATGGTGGATATTGTGTGTGAAGCAAAATACCCTTCAAACCAATGTGAACTCCCTTTAAAATAACTTTTAATATTATTAAGTTTCCTCTGGGTTTCCTTTAGACTTCAGCAATGAGATGGCTATTAAGATTCCACAAGTTAAGGCTTACTTGGTTATTCAGAGTATAGAGATACACTATAAAAAATTAATCCTGTAACCCACAGCTTTTTTGCACACAGAAACAGCTTATGTGACTTTATTCCTTTGTTTGTTTGATCTTTTAAGCAGCCAGCCTGACATTTTAGGACTCACTTGTTCAATTCATGAGTGGTATATGCACTGAATCTGCTCCTAGTGCAGTCAACAGGAAAACTTCTATTGACTTCTGTGGGTTCATCATCAAACTTTTCTCTCTCAGTCTGTCATATACCTTAGCTTAACTGCAACTTTCAGAAGATGAAGCAATCAAAATATACACTGCCCTTGAGACACTATATATCTTCCAAGGAGGATCTCTGAACTGTTTGGTTTGGAAATTCAAACCACAGATGTTGTCTTCATATTTTGTTGCTTCTGTGTAAAAGAGAGTTTGCATTTACAGAACTTCTATTATCCTCCATTACAAAAAAAAAGTGCGTGTGGGAGATTTCCTTCACTCTAAGAACACAAAGTTTTGCCACTTCCTGTCTGAACTATTTCAAAGTATCCTGCTTCTGAAATGCACCAAACATTTTGCTATAGCAGTAGCTCCATCTATGTGCTATGGTCTTTTTAGGTATTCGTCACCTTTGTCCTTAGCGTGGATTTCAGAATACAGTAAGAATAATTTTATCCTAACCTGAATTGGCCTTTGTAGCAAGAAACATTAATGGGCTTCATTTTTAGTAAATGGCTTTAGGCAATCGTTTCTTGTCAGCATTTAGAAACTCTTGGCTTCAATGACAACTGAAAAATCCAGGTTTCTCCAGCATGCGGTTGTTCCAGACTGTGATATTAGAGCAATATTTTCTAAAATCAGCTGAATGACTTAGGCTGACCCACTTAACTACAACTTCCCTTGGAGTTTCACCCACATGAAATTGGTAAAACCAAAACAGTAAGGTGTGTCCCTCTGCTTCTCTTGAGCATCTCTGAACAAGAATTGAATGTAGTCAAGCATTCTGAAAAATGGATTTGGTGTCATAGTTCCATTGCATCTTCAATTCTGAGGATTTCCAAGACTTTGCTTCCTATTTTCAGAAGAAAAGAAGAAGAAATTGCAAGAAACCAGCAGTCAGCCAGCTCCTGCTCCACTGAACCTAATCACTGCAATTGCTCCTACACCTAGAAAAAACCAACAAGCGTAACAGATGGACTTCCTCTGTATGGGGAAAGTCCAGAGCCTTTGTACTCCTCACATTCAGGCATGCACTTTCCAGTCCTGCTATGACAATTTATCTCTTCTCCATATTGACAGGTATATTTGGAGACTAAGACTTATTAAAGCCTTATGTTCCAAATTTGCTGAAGTCCTTAGTCCTTTTTCATATGTTTTTGAGTCTTTGGCAAGATATATTTGTTTGACTTGGCACTTAGACTTATTTTTGGCTTTTATTCTATTTGATAGTAAAGTGCCCTTAGCAGTGTGCATAAAAGGTTGTATGGAAGTGCTGGTTTGACTGAACGAACTGAATGAATACATATTCACATTCTGTTCCCTTATAATGAAAGAATTGCTGCTGTAAAAATAACTGAAGTTCAGCTTATGCAAAGGTGCTACCTCGGCAGTTCTGATGATTTTGGTGTTTTATTTTTACCCACAGAACAGGAACAGCACTCAGGATGATAACTGTGCAGTTATTTGCATTCACTACATCCATTTTTCTGCTGTGACATGCAGTTGTATCATACAATTCTTTTAATGAACCATCTTAAAAGTTCATTTCCCACTCCCCGCCCCCTCCAGCTGCTGCAAATCGAAATGCAAGAGCCCTTCAAGCTTTCAATAACAATCTGTCTCACAGTCCTGACCTGGAGACATATCCTCATTTTTCATGACATTCAGAAAGCTGACTTCTGAGATAGCCAGTGTGGATGCCAATGACAGTGGTAAGATTTGTGAATTGGCTGTCTCTTGTCAGGCAGTATATATTTTATGTAAGGCATTGGGCAGACACTATTTTTGCAAGAGCTTTCAGCCATTATGCGTCTTGGCCACATTCACACTGGCAACACAGGACAATGAGTGATTCCAAGCTCCATTATTTTCTCCTGAGTCATCAAACTGCAGCAAACGACTCATTTTGTTATGAAAAACAAGAACTTATTTACTTTCAAGAGTGTTCAACAAGTCACAAAACACATTGTACAGATTAACTACTACTGCTAGGTCACAGTAGTTATTTTGGTAAGAATTTTTTTAATATATGTAGATAGAAATGAAAGCTGTAGTAATGCTAAGAATTCAGTTCTGGTGTGCTGAAAAAAATTTCAACGTCACACCTATGGTTGCCTCCTCATGGGGTGTAATATCTGAAATGATGATTGGAAAAGGCCTTTTGGAGAAGACCCTGAGTATACAAGGTCCAATGACATCTAATATTTGAGCAAAACCTGTCCTGAGGCTCTGAGTCTGAAAGCTCGCAAAGTAGTTTTCAAAATTAGATAGAAACTCGTGTGGTTTCTCATGCCTGGACAGTGCCCTTGAGAGCATTGGGATCTCACAAAAACCAAAGAATTGAGGAAGAGTTTGTTCATCAAAGCTTAAATAAAGGCTTATTTACAAACGGGAGAAAAGAAAACCTAACAACACAAATGTGATGGTCCATATATAAGACATCCTCAACACATCAACTCCGAAGTATTTTAAACTGTCTCCATTGTATCATCTATATAAACTGTTATGCAAACCTCTCCTTTGGTGGACACATTTATCTATATCAACATAAAATATGCTTTTGAAACAAGCTTCTTGTGTTTTACTAACTGTTCTGCTTTCCAGAGGCTTTAAGGAATTCTGAAAAATGGGTGGTCTTGGATCATCTGCTCTGCATTTCCTAGACTTTACCATTTTAGTCAGAATTAAAGATTCAGCTTCTTTTAAAAAAATTACATGTTG